GCAGTACAGATGAGGCAAGAGGAAACGGTGGATCAAAGCAGGTAGAGACAAGCGCAACAAATATATGTGTTGATTCATTCGCTACCTCTTCGAAAGCAAAGGTATCTCATTTCATCAAAGGCGAAAGCAAAAGTATCTCATATCATGCTCTTTTCCTGTCTTTTCCTTTGTCCTTGATATTACTTGCATGGCAAAGTGAAAGAAGCAATCAGCCGGCACTTGGAGTCTACTTGGACTCTATTCCCTGGTTGCTTACCTAGCGTTGCTCTCGAGTAGTCATCTTCAATGGTTGATACACTTCCAGAGAAGGGACCACTTCTGCAAAGGGGAGCAAGTAAGGCAAAGGAAAATGATACATTGAAGCATGAGGAGACAAGCATATGCTGAGCTATCCTCTAACCCTCTTCAATACGAATTGGAGAGATTAAACAAAGAAACAGATAAAGGAGTAAGCTCAGACCTTCGGAGGAGATCAAAAGAATCCTGCTGCCTAGTTCAAGAGTAGCACAAAGGAAAATCAACGATCGGAGGAAACCAAAAGAATCTCCAGCTCAGTTCAAGAGTAGCCTGTGGAAAAACTGAAGATGAAGCATCACTGCAATCACCAAGGAGAAGATGGAATTTACACTCCATAACCAGATTTGCATCCCTAAACTCTTCTCTTTGTTAGATACATTCTGCCATGTTTAGTATGTTTAATTGTTGTTTATATGTTTGCTTGTGTTTAGTGTGGTTTTAAGCTTAAAACATTGAGGACAATGTTTGATTTAAGTGTGGGGGAGTTACTTAAGTGTTTTGATGCAAATTCGTAGGGTTTTATCCATCATAATTTCAAATGTTGTTTCTTGCTGTTTTTTTTAAGTGTTTTTAAACTGTTTTAGTGTGTTTTGACTTAAAAATTCGAAAATCACATAAAAATTTGAAAAAAATTATGTTTTGAAAAGCCTAAAAAGAGTGTTTTGAGTCGTTTTGTGTGTTTGTGTCGTAGGTCACCTTCCAACACAATGATGAGGATTCGGTTTTTAATTGCATGACTGTTAAAAAGAGTTATAAACATGGAGAAAAGTTTGATATACTCTTGGTATATGCTTGGTTATAGTTATAATGTATGACTTCAAATGCAATCATAAAAGAAAAATTGGGTTTTGTAACATGCTTGAAGGAGGGAACTCAAATAAACGCTACAACCCTGTGAGACTCGAGCCATTACCTTCTTTGGAGAGTATAATCTGTGATTTCTTGTTTTCTAAAATCGTTGCATGATTTCATTATTCTTTGCTTGGTTACTACTTATAAGGCGTTTCATCATATAGTTCTAAATGCTAGAACTCATGTCCATTTCATTCAAAGCATGTTATTGATTTGCATAACACATATTCAAGAAGAAGTTGTGTAGTGACCACCACCATAGCCAAATAGCCTTACTTCCCATATTTCGTATATGTTGTAAGTTTTAACCCCGTTAAACCTTGTTTAGCCTTTATTCTTTGTCTACCCACATTTTCCTCACCTAGCCTAGTTTAGGACAATTCCCACCCTTATTCTTAAAAGATAGTGAGCATGACTTAATTGAATTCCTTTTAACTTACATTATGAAAGAAAATGAGTGTGAGGGAAGGAATGCTTGTTCTTAAGTATGTTTTGAGACAGAAAAGAAAAGAAAAATAAAAAAGAAAAGAGAGAAAGAAAGAAAAAAGAGTTTGAAAAAATGAAAGAATGAGTGATTGAAGAAAAGGTTCAAAACACCAATTCTGGCCCTAAATTGTCTAAATTCTCCCTTTTTGTTTAAAAGTTGAGTTTTCATTCAAAAGTGAATTATAAGTTGATTCAAGTGTTTTGTTCACTATTTCTTTAAGAACCTTTGTTTTCCATATCCCTTCTTTGTTATCCACACGCTCCAAGCCCCATTACAACCCGTGACTTCAATCTTGAGTGTTATGTGTTTCAATTTGTGGAGTTTGAACTTGGTATGAGCATATGGTGTCACTGGTTCTCGCGTCTAAGTAGTAGAATTCCATTGATGAGATCATATCTAAACATGCTTATTAACTCCAGAAATTGCTTTCTTTGTTATACATATATGTGAGTGTTCGTTTTCATGTTTACATTAATCTTCTCACATATGACTAGATTAGGGTGTGTAGTTAGAAAATCTGAGTGAAAATCGAGTGCATATCTTGTAAGGAATTGAGCAAATTCTCTAAGGCATGTTACTACATTCAAAACATGGTTTTAAATACTTAATTGTGAAATAGTACGTGGTGACTATGATTAAGAATGTACTTAAGTGTGAAGATGACTAAAATCTGTGGGAATGATGATTTTTAACATGTCATGTGCATTGAAAATCCCTAAGATGGTTGTTGGAAGGTTTAGGTTGTGTTTTACGTGTTTAGTGCCGTTTTATTTATTTGTTTTTATTCTGTTTTGCTCGAGGACTAGCAAAAGATAAGTATGAGGGAGTTTGATAGGAGCATATTCATGCGACTTAAATGGCTTGTTCTCGTGTATTTACGTTATGTTTCTCTAGTTATTTTAGTCCTTTATGCTTTTTTGTGTGTTTTCAGGTTCTAAGGGCTTAGGGAGCAAGAAAGTGCATTTTGAGGCTATTTGGGGCACTTTTGGGCATGGATTGGATAGCTTAATCATGGAGCAAAGATGATGGACGAAATTGAAGCCTTGTATGCTCTTTGGGGACATAAAACAAAGGGCCTAGCCCAATCAAACAAATCCTTTGAGCCATGGAAAACCTCTAGCCCAATCAAACATTCTATGTCATGCAAACCAACCTATTTTAGGCACATTCTATGTACTTAAACCCTAACCCTTTAAACTAGCCCTATTATGATTTATTCACTTCCATACTCTTCTTAATTCCACATGCATTCACACACATGCACATCATTCACTCACACTTCCTAGCCGTGCATCACTTTAACCCACATTCACACACATGCAATTACACACACCATGTTCCCCTTTACAAAACTCCTTTGTGTCGTGTACCCCTTATACATTCTTTGTTCCCACCAATCACATGCATCCATAATCATTTCTTCATCCTTGCACATGCACTTCCTCCTTTAACAATCCCACACCTTGACATTATTCTTTCATCAACCCACCACAAAACAGCAACCTTGTTGTTGCCGTGCACTCCCACTTCATCATTCCACTTTCCAACCACATTCTTCCACCTCCCACTTCATCATTACACCACCTAATCCACATGTTTTCCCAACAATATAATTGAGCCAACACATGCACCCAAACAAAGCCAACCTAGCTAACCCTACATGCATTTCTTTATTCACTCTTCATCACATGCATATTTCAGCCATTTACCAAAACAATCACCCTTGTGCCGTGTATCCCATCCTACATTCCACAAACAAGTCACATGCATTACACCCCACATCCCTTTAATCCTTCAATTCAGCCACCATTCATTCTTTATTCCACATACACTCATCATCACACACCCTAGCTATCATTCACATGCATTCACATGCATCACAACCCCAAAACCATCAAGAAAACACCCTTGCCATGGCCTTCACTCACACTTCCAGCTTTCCACCTTGCATTTCCAGATTATTCCTTCATCATTGCATCCATTCCACATGCATTCTTCATCATTGCACCAGAAATCACTCATCCCACACTCAATGCCGTGCAAACACACCCCAATTCCAGCACATACACATGCAAACACATGCCATTTCCAGCTTTCGCATGTTGTCCTAGCTGTTTTTCCATCATTCCTCTACACAAACACCTTAAACAAACAGCCATATACACCTCCACTCCTATAAATACCCTTGCATTCCCATCATTCAACACATCTCATTCACAACACAACACCCCTCAAACACATCCATTCTTCTTCCTAGCCGTGAGTCCCCATTCCCTTATAATCCAAACACCACTCCTCATCCATTTCGATAATTCCCCAATCCATTCAACACACCAACAATATCCTTAGACCTTATGCTACAACGAAGAGGAAGATAAGAGGGCCTAAACGTTCATACAATTCAAGTTTGAGTTGTTGGAATGTTTAGGTGTTTCTTTGATTTCAATGTTTAATTTCAATTCTCTTTGTTTTGTACGTATGAGGAACTAAACCCCCCTTAGCTAGGGGGTGATTCGAAATATATGTTTATGCTTGCAATATGATTTGAGTACTTCTAATTACGTTTCATAAGTTGTGAATTCAATTTGTTTAACTATTTGATTGATAACCTATTTATGTATGTTTATTGAGAGTTCACGCTTAATTTTCATGCATGAATATGACGCTAGAATATAAGTGAGTTTCACGTAATAGTTATGAACTTATATTCACAAGTAGTGGAGGTTGCTTATAAACAATCGCGTTAAACAAATTCTTGGCATAAGTTTCATGCAATCATAGTAACGAATGCCTCGTCAACACTTATAGTTTTCATGATGCTTAATGATTCTTGCTTGTATCTCTATAATGCAATTCATGTAGGAACTTGTGAGGAATGCTTTGGGTTGTCGTATGCAATCATTCAATTCATTAACTTAAGGAAAACTTGACAGTTAATTTAAGCGGACCTAATTAACCCGGGGTGTTGAGAATTCATGGTTTATTGAAAAGCAATTAGATTTGTTTTATATGCAAGTATAACATGTGTGGAGATGAACCCCTTAGCTAGCCATCTCATCCATTCAATTCCATCACGTTCATCTTTATAATCTGTTTTTATTTCCAAGTTTCCATTTTAGTTTACTTTCGTCCAAATCCAATCCCCCTTTATTTTGTTTAGTCTTAGTCTTAATCTTTCTTATTTTTAGTTTTGCATTCTTCGAATTTAGTATAGTGTTTTATTTTGTTTTTACGTTTTTGAGTCAAAATCCAAGTGATTAACAATCCCTCCTAATCCCCGGTCCAGAACGATCTCTACTTATACTTATACTACAATTGTCAAAAAGAGGGTTTAATTTGTGCGCATATAAAACTCGCATCACAAATCACCAGGATTCCTTTCCCCTCTCAAATATCCATCTCTAACAAGGTTGGACTCAGATGGAGGGAAGACGGGAACAATTGCCCTCATAAGATCTCCCGGTCTCATAAGTAACTCTCCATCTGGCATACTAGAAGACGCAAAGTACTCAAAAACCTTCAAGTAATACAACAAAGGTCATCCGTCAACAGGAAATTATATCATGAGATAATTCTCCTTAAGAAAAGTTTAACTCGAGTTTTCAAGCACATTATTGTTCCAAGGAGAAAGATAATAGTTTTGGAAAAACAAAGAGACGGAGAGATGCTACAACACAAGGATACAACTAAACGTGATAATTCCTATGGTTGTCAGTATCCCCGAGCCATGACATTTACGCCATCCAACATTATCAACTAAGCTTACATTTTTTTTTTTTCACCTTCCTCACGAAACTCCTTCAATACTATCACTTATTTTCTAGGCTTACTTAAATTACTGTGCAATGGTAAGTCGCCATTTACTACAATGGTGAAAAGGTGTTGAGCCATTGATTTTGTTACAAATCTATATTTTGACAAAAACCAAAACAAAAAACACTTACTGTGCAATGATAAAAATTCCAAATTAGGCTTATATAAAAAATGAACTAACAGATAATCAGTAATTAATTATGTTGTAATACCAAATTAATACTGAGTACCTTCTCCGGCGGACTCCGCAACCTTATGCGTTTCTCATAGTTGAAGAAAATCTTTCTCCTATAAGCATCTGCAATAAGCCAATTTACAAATTACAGGGGTGTATTCAATTGCGAATTTTAGAGATTTTCATGGATTTTCACAAAGTTTAATTGATTTGTGGAGATTTCATAGAAACTTTTGATTCAATTCCCTCAAAATCTCACGGGAAGAGGTAAGATTTGTGGATACTTAAAATACACTACAAAATCTCGCTAATTCCCTCTAATTCCTCAACTTTTTCAAATTCTTTAAAAGCAATTTCTAATTGAATACACTTAGAATGTTATAAACTTGTTTAAAATTCTAATTAAATACACCCGAATTCATACAGCTCTGAAATTCCTAATTGAATACCCTAAATTCATTAAAAGAATTATCAAAAGATAAATAACAAAATTGAAATGTTCGAAATAATCAGAAGCCACTCCACTTACCTCCGAAGATGAACCCAGGGGCACCTTCGGGCAACGACAACTTCCGAAACAATGACCGCGACGGCCGATCCTCAACCGCCAATCCCGACTCCGCCGTTGACCAGTCAGCGAACGACGACGTTTTGAAGAAATCGGAATCGGGGGAGGACCAGTAGAGAAGCCCTACTCCCGAGCCCACCGCGAAGCCGGAGATCCATTTGAGGAACGAGCCATCGAAGGGGGTTTGGGGAGGGTGTGACTCGACGTTCGAGGCGCCGATCAGAGAGAGCGGCGACGGCGACGACGGTTGTGTTGAAGCGGAAAGGTGGCGGATTGGGAGGCGTTGGTGGATGAACGATGTGGGTCGAGTTAGGGAAGGTAAGCGGGACATGGGAAATTTTGCGCGAAATTTTGTGCAGAGAGAGGGAGGACGGAGACGACGACGTTGTGAAAGTTAGCTGGAGAAGGAAATGATGATAAGGGGATCTAAGCCGTTGGATTTTTTAGATTAAAATCGGGGGCGGGAAAGTATGGGCCTGATAAGGCCCAAATTTGATTGACCTTGCTTTTTTATTTTTTGGTGAATAGCCCAAATATTTTACAAGACTTGGGCTCGAGATAAAGCCAATTCAACTTCTTTTAAATTTTTGGTTATTTTTGGATGAAATTTTTACTTTGCTTCCCAACTTAAGAAAAAAAAAAGTTGGTGAAGTTTTGTGAAAAAATTCGTGGACTAGAGCACCTATAATTTGAGGTCATGAAAATTAAACTAGGAGTAAAATTTATGGACTATTATTACAATTTAGCCGAATTGAAAATACTATTATTTCTTTATTAAAAAATTAGTGTTTGTACCTGATTTTGCATTCAAAACTCATAGGTTTGGAGCCATTAGATTAATAGAAGGTCATGATGATATTTAATAACCTTTTTTAGATATTATTATCTAATCGGTTATTGGCAATTATCTTACTAGTGCTTGAGAATCAAGATTGACTTTTGGATGGAGTTTGAATTAATTGTATAAAAGGACTAGGTTCATAATCCTAGTTTGAGTTGACGGCGAGGCTTGTTGATGGAGTTTCGGCCAAAAATAATTTCAAGTATGTTCAGAGGATATGTCAAGGAATTGGAATATTATTATAATTATAACACTCAGTAGGCTTGGGCACCAAGAAATTTATACTATAAATACAGAAGCATTGGCAACGTGGAGAAAGACCTTCAACTTAGCTCAACAAACAAATGTTCTGCTCAAAACCTTGCTCTATGCGAACCTTTATGTCACGCCCCAACGCACGAATAAGAACTATTCACGAGCTAGGCTTAAAAATATATTTTTGTAGTGAAAGAATCCCTACTAACTTACATGCCAAAAATATGGGTTTTTGTACATATAAAAGAGAACCAATAAAATCATTGCATTTAAAATAAAAATAATTATGCACACATAAATATATAATAATATATATATATATATATATTAATATACGGGGTATTACACTTTCTCAAGCCTGAGAGATTGCTAATTATCCTCACCCTTTTTGTCAACACATCTTTTGTTTGGATTAACAACACTATATTGACCATCAGCGACATTTTCAGTTTGGATTAACAACACTAGAACCGAAAAATCAAGCAATTTAGGAGCATCTTCAGTTCGGAGTAAAAATACTTCTTCTGGTTGTTTGGTTATCTAATATCGAAGTCTCAGTCGACGGAGAGTTTTTAGCTCTTTCGCCTAGACAAGATCATCTCATTAGATTCTCGGCAAAGTGAGGTGTTACCAAGTTACCTCGTGGTCGCCACAGATGAAAGCCGAACCAATTATTAAACTTCGCAGTGATCTAACAACCTTGTCTTGAGGTTCTAGGACCTAAAGTTGAGATGCATTCCTTCATCGGCCGTGATCACTCAAGTACTGAAGTCAAGAGCGCATTCGACACCACCACCGCCACCACACCTCCAAATTTATGTAAAAAGTCTATGAATTCTATAGAAATTATTACATAAATGAAATAATCTAGAGAGGGGAAGAGGGAAACTGGAGGGCCTTTGAGATTGATCTTTGCCTCCAACTTTGTACTTTCGACTTTTGTTCAGTGATCTAAAGATCATAGGATAAAGTCTGTGATGAATTAATGCGAGTGAAGTGACAATTATGCTTCTGCAGCAGTTTTACGAAACTAGAACCACAAGTTTGGAACGTGGGAAGAAAATTACTTCTAGTATTTTTTTTTTAATTTCCTCTTTTTTATATTTATGTTTATTCAAAAAAACAAATATATATATATATATATATATTACCCTGCGAATTTGTTTCTATTATTTTCAGCTAGTTTTGGATTTTATTTTATTTTACTTTATTTTTTTGTTATTAGAGCTTTTGTGTCTAATTTTTTTAATGAAGCCTTATGACCCCAAAATAAGATTCTGCCCCATTTTTCCTCCCTAGCTATACCCATCACTTATCATACAAATTTCTATTGTTCTAAAAATCTCCGCCTAGGTGCTAGGCCCCCTGGTCACCGCTCCTAATTAATGCCTAGGCGTTTGAAAATTAAGAAAGGACCCACAGAGCTACTAAGGCGCCCGCCTAGACGGCCTAGGCACCCTCCCAAACCCGCCTAGGTACCCACCCAAACCCGCCTAAGCATTGACTCACTTAGGCAAAAAATAAATAACTTTCATTTTGCATTTTATTTTTTTTCAATAAATTGTAAGAGACTTGTCGAATACTTAAATGAGCACACATTATATGCTTGTTCCCCATGTTTTCATTATGTTCCAATACTTCATAATATATGTGTCATTCTATTTTGTAGTTTATGATGAAATTATATATATTTTAAGTATAAACATACACTTATTTACATGAAATATAATGGAATTAGTTAAATCCGCTTAATCCGCCTAGGCGCCCGCCTAGCCGCCTAGGCGCTAGACCCTAGCTCACCGCCCGACTAGCGCCTAATGTTTTTTATAACCTTGTAAATTTCATACTTAGTGTGTGGGTGTGTGTTGTTATGTATCGTAGATTCTTCCTTACCCTAACCTCCTAGAGATGGTAATTCAGTCCAGAGGCACGCAAACTGCATGTCGTGTATATGTCAATTCTATTTCTACATTTCATTTCGTTTGTTCAACTATTTTAAGTTTTTTATATTGTTGTTGTAACTTATTATCATCATTACCCATAGCCGAATTAGTATACTTGTTCGTTCGTTATTAACTTTAGACCTCAAGAGATGGTGTATGCCACCTTCCACACACAAGCAATTTTATGTCAATAATAATGGACCTGCCAACCAACTACCTCAAATTAAAATTTCAACTTTGGAGATACTTCTCCAAAAAGTCCGTCAGATTTCAATGGTGGGCATGTCATGGCCCAGTCATTTCTTTTTAGAGTAATGCTAGGGAGTATTTATTTAAAAGATAATGCTATAGAGATCAAATTTTTAAACTAAATTTTATAAACTAAATTATGTGAATGTTGATGATTAAATTAATAGTTAAGTGTTAATTAACGTGCTTATTTCTTATTGGTGACACAGCATTTGATTTGAGAATTTGATTTAAGAATTTGGTCTCCCTAATATTAATAATTGTATTATATAAACAATATGACGTAATTGTTAATAATTGAATTATTACTTAAATATTAATTAATGTGCTAAATTTTTATTAGTAATACATCACATAATGTGCAAATTTAGTCTACAATATTAAATCAACCTAGCATTGCTCTTCCTTCTAGCCTTTTCTTTTATTTTTGTTTCTGGTTTTTTCTTAACGACTTATTGCTAGTATTGCAAAAATAAAATGTTGCACTCCTCACCAGTGTATTTTTCTTTTTAATTATAGAAAATTTAGAGTATAAACTGAGATTTTATTTAATTAATGATAGTATCTACACTAAGAGGTGGGAGAGTAGACTCAGCCTTACAATGGGGTTGCCATAATAATGTGATTCAACTTCGCCATAGTTAGAATCAAACTTAAGACCTTCACTTGTAAAGTGAAGGTTTAGACTACAGTGGACTACTAAGCCAATCCTTCACTCCTTCCCTGCATGGATCTTCTGCTCTCTCCTTGCTCTATTTCATTACCACCCACCCCTAAATCCCAAAATCGGATTAGCACCCACCCATAGGTCAATTCGATCCAATGCCCCAATCGATGTCGGCTCCACCCCACTCATTTTCCCAAGGTCATCACCCGCTTTCTCTGTCTAAGTCTCGACGATGGCTACCACCGCCGTAGCACCGCGTCAGCTCGCTCAGAAGGAGGCTAAATTCAGATGATGTTGGCCGTCTAAGAATCCTATATGGACTTAACTACTTGTGATAAAGGTGGAATTACATGTAGATAATACAACTTCAATAAGAGTTTGATACATGGAAAACTAACATCCTATAATTCAGGAAACACATTAGAAATGTTTGGGATGCAACTGCCTTCCATTAACCCTTTTTCCACTGAACTTGATACAACGGGACAATGACCAACTCACCCACGATAGATGGGAGTTGGCAGTCGTTGTTTCTATACATGTAGGAGTTCCCTGCCCACCAAGAAGACATTCTTCGACACAGGGTTCTATCACCATAAGAATATAAAGGTCATGAGTGAGTAAAAGGATTCCTTGTGCAACTAACCATGTCTTCTTCAAAGCTCTTGTGTACGATTAACAACCACCATAGGTTGCACCAGGTAAACTTCTCTCATTACGTTTGATCATGACCTAGCAAAGCTTGATAATATGAACTTGGGTTGTTCTTACATTTGGTATCAGAGCCATGTTAGTAAGCCCTAGGTCCGATGAATTAATAAGAAATCCTAATGCTTTATGCATGTATAAAATTCGTATGATGATTGATGCAGTTTTCTATAGCATGATTAATTGTTCTAATGTCATATGTTGTTGCCAAGTTTTATTCACTGCAGGAAAAGGAATATACGGTTTGGAAATTAGACCACCGTAAGCATTGCGCTTTTGTCATTCTAGAATTGGTAGTCATGGTTGCTTCAGTTTCACAAACGATGATTGGTATCTATTTGAAATTCGGTATCTGATTGAAATCAGTTTCTTGATATCTATTTGATATTCATGTTGCAACCAACTATGCATAAAGTTGTAACAGGACCTCAATTTTTCTCTAAAAAGAACTCTTCTTCAAACAACATATCGTGATATCAAACGTATCCTTAACCTTGAGATTTATCACTGCTAATTTACGTAATATATGGCTGAGAACAGACCTACATGTATGCTATTTGCCCCATTCTTTTCTATAAACCTTTTGAGGATTTATGATGATTTCTAGGCTTATGGTGGCAAGTGTTGATTTTATTTCAATCTTGGAGTTGTGGTTCTCATAATTGATAAACCTTTTTCGAGTCGAAAGTGAATTTCATGTTTTTTGAGTTGAAGTCACTACCACGGTACATTTCTCTGTGTGACGTTAA